TTCTGGCTCTCCATGAGAGAGGCTGACAGCAGTGATACCATTTACAACACCCATTAGAAGCACAACTAGACCTGTGTAGAAACAGGCCAGCTAAAGATTTGCCCATGAAGTTTTGTAGCTTCATGAAATCACCATACAAGACTCAATGAAAGACACATACAAGAAAGCACAAACATGTAGTGTTTCGGTTGAACAAGAAGCCAGTGAGACAAAAAGATCCACTATTGCTCCATGCAGTATGAGCAGAAAATATGGAAATGTGGCACTGTATGTGACAGGATTTTGTGAATGTTAGTTCAAATGTGGGTATAGAAGGAGAGAAAAGGAAGGCAAGCAGGAGAGAAAGAAATCATCCATGGGGAAAAAAAAACCAACACAAAACAAACCAAGTTATAGAGAAATATTTAGAACTCCAGAAGAATAACTCAAAACTGTGCTATTTACCTTTTTTATTTGAAAAACAGTCTTGGATTATTATTTTTTAAAATTTCAAGTAGATGACATTTCCTTTATATTTTAACATTGCTTTGTACTTAAGCCTTGTAATTACTGGACTGAATGGAAAATACTTAAAAGGCCTGATCTAGCACTAGTAGTGCAAAACTTTTACTCAGCTTACCTCCCATTACTCAAATGAGACAAACTGAGAAAAAAGTTCCTGCTGGAACCCAAAGATAATTAGCAGCAGAATAATTTAACCTAAATAGCCCCAGAGTACATAATCTTCAGCCTGCCCTTCCAATAAATTCACAGTAGCTCTGACTTTGAGGCTTCCTGTTACCCAGACTTCTAAAGACCACTGCGGTGTATCAGTTGACTGAGAATTGCACTATACCATATCAAACAAGGGCTCAGAATGAACACAGTCCTGAGCATATTTGGGATTAATCAGATCAGACACTTACCACAGTGTTCCTCCTAAGCAAGTTTTTTTTAAAAAAATTCAATGGCAATTCAAGTTTTTTCAGCTGAAGAATTTACTATGCTGTTGCATTTTGCGTCAATGACTCATAACTGATCTCCAAAAATCTGTACATCTCTCAAGTGAAACATTTCTCTGTGCAGATTTAGAGAGGCTCTTCTCTGACTTAAGCAAGTGGTATCCATCCTTCTAGTCTCTTTATGAACTCTGAATTACATTAATATAGAATTTCAGCAGTGAAGCTTGGATGGATGTAACTGTCCATTACCACACATTTTTTTATTACATTATTTTCTCTCTCATACATATACTTTTACTGTTACAGGAAACAGGCAGCAATACTTAGTCCCTTGAAAATCAGGACAGTTTTTATTAACATACTGTGAAAATTGTTTTACAGTATCATCACTGGAAATCCATATGCATTAAAAAACCTGTCTCAAATAATCGCTAGACAGTCAGAGATTAAGAATAAAGTGACAGGAAAGAGTTATGTTGCAGCATTTCCAGCACTTTTGCTTGCACATGTTCCATCAGTAAAATAACAGAAATATTGCTTGACCTACCCTTTACTCTCATCCTCTGCTTAACCACAGTAACAATAAAGTTGGTACCCCACAAACTACTGCTATTGCCTTTTGTTTAGAGAACGAGGGGACAAAACATTCATTCTCTTTACTGAGCAACAAATTATCTTTTATCCTATTCCTGTGGATGCAGCACTGCGCATTCTATATAAAGGACTGCCGACTCCTCCTGCGTGCTGAGGTCTCACAGCTAAACCCTGACAAAAACGGCAAAGGTAAGAACAGCTGAGTGAATGGAGCGCTGACAACCTAGCACATGCGCAGCTCCTCATCGGCAAGTACGTTGGTCTACCAACAAATTAGCAGAGGGGAAACATCAAGTGATTGTTTTATAATCTCGCTCTTTGGTAAGTTTCCTAAAGAAAGCCTATAGCGTACTTGGAAGCCTTTAAATGCCAAAATATTTGCACATAAAAATCTTCTGATTTTATTTTTCTGACTGGCTAGTTTCTCTTTGAGTTTGTCAGCTGCTGAAAGAGACCTAAAGTTTATGTATTCTTAGACTTCTAGGATGCACAGGAAAATAAGGTTAAGTACTCTGTTCCAATAAAATGTAATAAATATCACCACTAACAATGCCACTGAATTTAAGTATTTCTAACTTGATTTTACTTCTGCTAAGATATAGCTGCCCAACAGGAACTAGACTGCTCAATGATTAACTCAGGTTAGACACAGCAATCTTATTTTGTTCCTGTATCATTAAGAGAGATGGAAGCTTCAGCACAATCCAGATGTGAGAGAATTATTCCTTCCTTTGCGTGTATTTTACACTGCAGAGGATTTCTAGGAGCCCAGGACTGAGTGCAGGAGATAGGCACAAAGCTGAATGATTGTATGATACATGGAAGTCATCCACAGAGCTTTCAGTCAAAGAGCAATTTGGGTTTTGCTTTCTCCGAATGCTCCCAAAAACTTGTCATGAAGCTGCTGACAGGCTATTTCCAGCATGAAATCATGATTAAAGTTGCCACCCACTTCCCAGTATCCCAAAGGGACATCCATCTGTCATTTGTAGTACTACAGGAATGAAGACACCAGTAACTGTGCATTCTATAGAAAACAGACATAAGGGCTTTGCTAGTCTTTGGGCCTGGTAGAAGTGTCCCTATGGACCTTTTCAGTCTTTGGATTGTTTTGTACAATCTCAGCAAAACAAAGCCAGCTTTGAAATACTTTCCCGTGTGACTGGGATTAGTTTTCTTTTATTGCAGATCACTTTGATGATAGAGACTCTGAGAGCTGCTCCTGTGAAGCCACCACAGACCAGCCAGACCTGCATGCTCACCTCAACTGCTGCAACTCTACCAAGGTGGAAACCAGCTGCTATATGATCTATGAATGTCCCAGCTACATAGGTGATCAATACTTTCTGAGGAAGGGAAAATATCCTGACTACTAGCACTGGATAGGCTTCAGTGACTTTCTTAGGTCTTGTTGAATCATCACAGTGGTAAGTTTTCCGTATTGTCTCTGTGTATGTTACTGCTTATATTAGAATCAGAGCACTACACTCCCTTTTGATAGCTTTGGCAGAAGCAACAACTTCCTCAAAGACCTTTATGTAGAAAGAGGGTAGTAGAAAGGAAACCTAACAAGCTCACCTAACAGGATTTAGACTCCCAAAGAGGTAGATAAGTCAATTGGGATTCTCAGCCAAGCAGACAGTTGGTTAGAGCTTGGGAGCTTAATATAAAAATTGTATTAATATTTATTTGAATACGTATATATTATTTTTATACATATATATAAAAGCACTTAACTTCAATCCTCTAAAACCACTCTGGCTATACCTGATCTACACAAGGAAGTTTAGTACAGAGCTGAGAACCAAACCACATCTTCCATGCCTGAGTCAAAGCTGCTCTTTCAAGGTAGGCAAAGTTGGTGACTACACTACTACAGAGGCAACCTGACACATCCCATTGCAGAGACACCACCATGTATTTGAGCTGTAAATGAAAGCTATTTGCTGCATAATAGACTTTTTTTCTGAATACTTCAGCTCAGAATAGATCAGTGTTTTTCCCTCCTAGACTCATTCCCTGGAAGAGTTTTACTAAGAGGGGAAAGGTTGCCAAGATGTGAAAGATACCAATACTCACACATAAGGCTAAGGATTTGAGATTTGGTCCAAGAGTAGCCTTGATGCTGGACCGTCTCTCCAATGTTCATGAGAAAGCTTACAACATGGATGAACATAATTTATGTACAATTCACAGTTTTCCTGTTCAGTAGAAGCTTCATAGACCATCACAATGAGTTTCCAGATACATTCCATCTGCATAGGATAAGGCAGCTATTTTTGCTCTCTGACATGCAGTTCTGGGCTTCACTTAGCTAAGCCAAGTTCAGGTTCAAGTGCTGAAAGCTAGTGCAGACACTTGTGTCCTCTCAGGCTGTAGAGGGAAAGAAGTCACAGATGAGGTGGGTGGGAACAAGATGAAAGAAGGGAAGTTGAGTTGGGAGATGGATGGGAAGTATCTGAGAAGCAGCAGAGACTCTGAGAATTAGTATGGGGTAGAAAAAATCCTAAAATTAGTACACATTTCTGCATGCTTTCTAGATTCAGAAAAAGAGAGTTCAGGAAGATTGATTCCATAAATGTAGATACTAAAGTGTTGTTGGGTTTGGTTGTGTTTGGTTTTTTTTTAAAACTAAAGTGTTGGTCTTTGCACAGCAGCAGTGCTCTTGTGTCTATACAATTTTTGAGAATCTGCAATAACTGTATTGGGCACTGATGCAAGAGCAGGAAGTATTTTTCTATATCAAATCTTTGCTGTGATAGATAGAGGAGTTAGAGACAGTTTTGAAACAGTTCCTCAACTTAGTAGATGAAAAGCAAAAAATCCTTCCGATCTAAGGCTGTGCAACAAGAATAGGGTGAGAAGTTCCCCTGCATCCCAGCCAGAGCCTTATCCAGTTATTACATCAACATGTAGGAAAACTGAGAGCACATGACTGCTGTGGCAATCCAGATATATCACTGAGCTTATTTTTTACCTGCATGTACAGCTGAAGTGTGATCTTGGCTGGACCCCACTTCTGCTTCCTGCCCTACTACGTACAACTCTTTCAAAGCAACTGCAGTTGTGTTCTCACTGGAGCAGAAAGGACTCACAGCACTGTTGCTTTAAGTTAGGATCCAATCAGATTTATTCCTGTTAAACTGACTTTTCTCCACATACTAGGGGCTATTCACTGTTCTATTGCTAGCATCAGTATTGCATCTAGCAAGCTGTAGTCACCTAGAACTGCCACTTGACATCCTGTGCATCCATGTCTGGATTTGCCTTCACAACCCCAAGGGCACAGCCAGCTACAGATCTATGAAAGGAATGAATTCAAAGGCATGACATTGGAGTTCACAGAAAACTGCCCTTCTCTCCAGAATGACTTTCACTACAGGGACATCCAGTCTTGCAACATACTTGAAGGAAGCCAGGTTTCCTATGAACAGCCACTCTTCTGAGGACAGAAGTAAATCCTGAGGCCTGGTGAGTACAAGCAATTCACTGACTGGGGTGCCATGACTGCCAAAGTTGGATCCTCCCAACCAACAGCAGTTATTTCCTAACCAGCACTTTCCTAAGCTATATGTCAATGAGTAGTGCCATTAGTACTTCATTAAGGCCAAGGAGTTTTGGACCCTATATGGATTAGGCTCCCTTTTCTTGCAATGCTTTTAGCCTCAGATTTAAAGTCCAGCAGAGTCAGAAAGCGTCTTGACTACAGTGGGCTTCAGAGCCTGGGCTTGCGTTACTGGTAGAAGTATTTCCCCTCCAGTCAGTGAAGACAGACTGGTAACACCAGAGAAACCTGTACCTAAATTGCCAAGCTAAATTTTTATCTGCAGTCTCAGATCAATTTAAAAATAGCATCTTTGAAGAAAAATATTATTTCAGATCTTAGAGGAAAAAAATGAAATACATTCTTCATTTATGATAATGAAAATCCAAAAATTCACCTGTAACTGAGTCCATGGAACCAACTCTTGAGCTTGAATTTATTCCAAGGTGTACCTTAAATCTTGAACAGCCCCATAAAAAGTAATGTCCATCTCAGAAGTAGTTCTCCTGTGAATAGACTGGCAAGTTCACAGCCACAGTATCATCACAGAGGCCCTGCATACCAAACCTGCAGCTGTGACACTAGGTGACTTAAGACAGAGCAAGCCATTTGCAGTATTTACCATCTTTATTACTAAGAATTATTTCTGTCAATTACTATTTGTAATGCTACAGATATAAAAATAAACCTTTCAGTTGCTTTTTTCCCTTCATAATGAAAAAAGTCCTGGTGCCCAATAGCTCCTGCTGCCATTTGGCATAAAGTCCAGAGTTCTGCACAGGACTGCATCACTCCTCTTCCCAGCTCAGGGCTTACACTATGCTCTTTTGTGTAGCCAGGACCTCACAACGTTTGCAGACATGAACTCATGTTGACCTTCCACAGCACAGAGAAGCAGCAGCTTTCCCAAGGGTCTGGGGTTAGAAACCAGAAGAGAGACCTGTTATGTTAAGAGTCTACAGCCTTTTCAGTGGGTTCAGTGTGCAAGTGGGCCCCTACAAGTCTCGCGCGTACTTTAACAGCACACTGTTTACACAACACTGCAGGATCTTTAAAACTCTACTTTCAGGTTTTCCAGCACTAGCCATCATTCAGGTCCCTGTACCCCTCCTGTGTCGGGAGTTATGCCAGCAGAGGCCCTGGAGGGTTCACGAGGGCACAGCCTTGGCTTCACATCACACTCAGAAGCAAGCACTGTGCTGCAGCCAACGTCTAACTTCTGGGAGACCACAGTGCTAACATTTTGCAAGAATTCCACCTCTAGCAGCAGTTGGAGTTTTCCTAAGCCTGTTCCTCTTTAGTGATTTCCCCTCATCTGCATTCTTCCCCAAACCCAGAGGAGCTAGGCCCCAAGTTGCTGTAGCAGGCGTTCTCAGGACAACCTTACCCTGTCAGCTGAGAGAAAATTAAGTTCAGACAGATCACCAGAGACTAACAGCAGCTACACGTCCTTAAACTTTGGTTGCTGCCATGTTGTTTGTTTTTTTTTTTTTCCCAAACACACTGAATGCATTCAGGAGCCATGCTGCAGATCCAGATCTGCTGAGCACCACAACATAATGAAATCATTCATTAAACAACTTCGTAACTACAGCAGAATGATTTGAAGTGCAAGGATAGTAAACTCACTGGTCACTGGCAATAAGGCAGTGGACAGTAAGGGATGGCTTACTTTGAGTGAAAAGTCAGTCTGGTGGAGGAGGAACACTTTTATGATGCAATCTTGTGCAGTAACAACTGGTGTCTTCAAGCATCTTCAAAACAAAGACAGCTGTAGCATGAGTCTATGCATGCTAGCTCCTGCACAGCTAACCTAGATGACAGCAGAAGAGAGGGGCAGTTCTAAGCCCGAACACCCATCCCTGAACTTTTACTGGCTGTTAGAGTGTGTAAGAACCTAGGCAGACCAAAGCATATAAACGTATACTATATATTTAATCTGGAAGAGTCTTTCAGATGTACCCTACACAAGAACATTCCTAGCACAGCTGCAAACTTAAGGCCTGTGGAAAGGGAACTTATGCTACAGAAAAGGAGCAGAAGAGATCAAGTCAATGCCTGGGCCTTTTACAGCAGGGGATTCATTATATTGAAGGCCCCCTGTGGAAACAAGCTGAAAGGACAGAGAAGGACGAAAACACTCACCATGGTCCCAGGTTACCCTGGAGTAAATTCCTTCCTGATTTTAAGTCTGGTGAATGGTTTAATTAACCCTGCATACATGAAAGCAGAGCAGCCAGAGGGACTTAATGCTATTAGCCAGACCATCACCTCCCAGCTTTAGCTGTGGCCACTCTCCAACACTTTGAAAGAAAGCAGCTAAAATCCCTAGATACCAGCTTATGTGTCAAGGGGCAAACAAATTCCTTCCCATTTCCAAATTTTGCAAACAACTAACAAGCCCTGAACTAACTGGGGTACCACGTGAATATGGTGACAGAAGGAAGATTAAACACTAATCAAGGTTGCTGGCTTTCCTAATATAACAATTGCACACTCATTTTGCGCAGTCATAGCCAGAGAAACTCAAGGCAAGCTGATCCTGTGCCACCCTGAGCAAAACACCATCTCAGAGGCTTTGGCATCTTGCAAAGGCCAGCTTGCTCCTTTCCAATAGCCACACCAAATGCAATCTCAAGTTAATTTTGCTTGAATGTCTAGAAACTAGCATCCACAAAGTCCTACTTCTTTACATGCAGCAAAGGTATTTTTATAGTGGGAACTTTAAATGCAGCTGGCAAGGCCACTTGCTTACTTCGAACGTAAGGATTACTCCTTGCTTCTGTGCAAGAGTCTGTTTGTAAAGGAAGATGCAAGAGTTGAAAGACAGGTTCATTTCTAAACATATTTCAGGTTTTCATTGTTAGTAAACAAAGCATTAGCCCTAAGACATCAAGCAAAACTTCAGATAAAAGCTTTGCCATAGACCTATCTCAGCATGATTTTTGCTGGCCTGAGGCATGATCTCAGAAGCCTTAGAGCCAAACAACAGGTTTGAGAATATCTGAAAGTCAGATACAGATTTTTGTATTTTTTTCATTTGCTTCTACAGAAAATAAGTATGGCTTAACAAAAGAATTACAATAAGATGAGTGTTTTTTCCTGTCACTTCAATTCAAGTCTTCTCCCTGTTCACACCCTTTTCTCTACCCATTGTGTTACCTGAACTTGCTGACTGATGAGTTCAGTCCATAGTAAGACAACTGAGTTACAGGTACTGAAGAAAGATAAAGTATAAAACCACAAGTAATGAACAAAGTATGAGAAACAACCACCATTATAAACAGACAGTTACCACAAGACAGCAGCTAAGGGACAATGAAATACAAATGAACACTGCCTACCTGGGTATTTAAGGTTCATGAAGCAATTAGTACACAATTATGCAAGAGAAGGTGATGAAAAGTCTAATAATTGTCTTTCACAGCTAGATTAATCCATAAACAGTCATATTTTAGATACCCATACATATCTGGTAATGCTTCCTTTTATATTGTCCTCCATTCTTTGGCTTCTATATCTTCAGCTGAGTCTTTATGAAGGTAAATACACTGAAACACATCTATTATTACACTACACCTGTGAGGACAAAGTTGTAGCCCACCTTTCTTTACTGACCTCTCTCATTATTGCTCATATTTACATATGCAAGTGTTGAATATTTGCATATATCAACAGGAAGACTAAATTTGACCTACATCTAGTCATGCAGACACCCAAAAGCCATCTTAACAACTTTACAGGGAGCTACCTAGCTTTGGAAAACCTCTAGAAGATTAGACCAGGAAACCACTCACCCTATATGCCACCAGAACAGATGGTCCTGTTGCAAAACACAAACGCTTTACTTTCTCTCCAGCACACCTATAAAAGACAAGAACTGCCTACACAAGTAGCAGCAACTGCCTAGGCCCACCAGAATAACTACCTTGCCACAACTCCAACTGAGTGGAAAATGGCTGCTTTATAGTCTGTGAGCACCCTAATTATGTGGGTGGCAGCACTTAAGAAGGGAGGAGTCTCTAGCAGAGGATGTTTTTTTGTTGTTTCAGTAGAGCCTGTTGTAGGACCTCTGTATGTGGGAGCAGCTGCTATCACTTCTACAAGTCAGTAATGCAAGAAAGCAGAGCAGTATCTCACAGGAGGATTGAGGTTTGTACACAGCTTTGCTTGGGCCTGACCGCTTCAAAGGGAGCAAGTTGTAAGGGAAGATTGAAATAGGCTGTCATTTAGTCTAGAAAAAGCTGTAAGAAGATGTGACAAAACTTTGTAACTCAAAAAGCATGCTACAAAGAGCTTCCTTTTCCCATATTGCTATGGAAGGGACAAAGAGTAATGGTTTGCATTTGCTTCAAAGATGATGCAGGTTGGTTGTTGGGAGGAGCTCCTAGCAGTAACTTGAACTCTGAGGTAAGTCCCTCATGGAACAGGCAGAATCTCTTCTGTTCTTGGAGGCTGTTCACAGAGAGGTGTCTGGAGTGGTTTAAACATAGCAGATCCTGCCCCGGGGACAGAGCTGGACTCAGCTCTTACTTTTTTCTTGATGGAAAAAATTATGTCACAACCTCAAGGTGGTTGACACTATTGTGTCTAGCAGCAAGTACCAGAACACATGTATCACATGACTAAAAACAATTTTACAGGCCAATTCTTATCAGTGTCCTTCCATCCGTGCTAAGAACTACGTTTAGATGTTGCAGTAAAAGATACTTCGCCCACTCCCACGCTACTGATCCATATGATACAAAACAGAGTACAGATTAGCCCTTAAATTTCTCCAGGGAAACTTCACTGATCTTCTAAAAGCAAGACAAATATGCAAAGGCATGTTGCAGGGACCAATCTCAGACTGCTTCTGAGCTGTTGGTGACACTTATCCATCCCTAGCAATTTTTTATACTGCAGACAATATAATGATATTGCACAGTCGATTCCTTTGCAAAGGATTTCCAAACCTTGCACGAAACTATTGCAGTGGTGTGGAAATCTCCTGTAAAGGAATTGACT